AGCTTTCAGCTCTAATTATGGGCTTTCTCTGTTTCTGGCCTCAGTTACCTGGCAGGCCATAAAGTGTGACTGCTGGATTGCCATTTGCTGACTTACCTAGAAGCACATACTGTCCTGAGAAGTGGTTCACCATTCTTTTCTGGGGGCATCCTGGGACTAGGCAGCTTTGCTGAAGGCTACACAGACTGGCCTTTCTCCCATTACATACTGGGGTGAATTGAACTCCCACCCTCTGGGTCTGCAGCCAGATACCCAAGTATAAAGTGTGACTGCTGGATTGCCATTTGCTGACTTACCTAGAAGCACATACTGTCCTGAGAAGTGGTTCACCATTCTTTTCTGGGGGCATCCTGGGACTAGGCAGCTTTGCTGAAGGCTACACAGACTGGCCTTTCTCCCATTACATACTGGGGTGAATTGAACTCCCACCCTCTGGGTCTGCAGCCAGATACCCAAGTCACTGAGCTATTTTCTCCCATTACATACTAGGGTGAATTGAACTCCCAACCTCTGGGTCTGCAGCCAGATACCCAAGTCACTGAGCTATCCATCCAGCTTCTGAAGTGCTAGGTTCCATAAATTCATTGTTTGCAGAGAATTAAGACAAGATTGCAAATCTGTTGCATCTCATCATTTCCTATGGTATAATGTAATAATAATTTGGAACTGCATTGCTGGAAGGGAACCTATGGATCATCAAGGCCAGCCTATGTCAAGGAGGCATTGTGGAGAATCAAAAATCTGTCCTCTGGCTATGCAGTCAGATACCTAAACCGCTGAGCTATCCAACAGTTCTATCATCTCACCTTTTCTTAGACCCATGTTGAGATTATTTGTCACTTCAGACACTGTTACAGTATCGGCCTACCCAGACTGGGCTAGTAAAATGTTGTAAGGCTTCTCAACCTTCCTGTGGCTTTCCTCTCTTTAAGCCTCCATGACTGTTCTCTCTTCCTCGTATAATGCTGTCAACCCTCCCCCACATGTATGCTCCACATGTATTCTACCACAGGTGTGAATCAGTTCTCTTATTTCCTTCCCCACAGCCTTCTCTGCTGACCCACTTCTCTGTCTCTTTTTTGTCTCTGTATCCTGTAAAACCCTCCTGCTTTTTATCACCTTATCTGTTCCCCACTCTTGTCTTCCCACCTATAGGCTACTTGGCACCTCCCTCTCTCAACTATCCTTTCCCTCAATTCTTCAGTTCCCCTAAATTTCCATATTACCTAATATCTTCCTACACCTTTTTACTAGTTCCCCTTTCTAGCATACAGCTTACTCCACTTCCAAGCTTCCTCTTTGACTTACCTCAGTTTTCGTATCCACTGGTTCTCTTCCCTCCTGTACCTGCTTCTTCTGAAGAACAGGGATCAGGAGGGGAAAAAAAACACCCTCTCCCAGCAGTGGTGGGTTTTGAGGAACAGCCGGGTTAGCTCAACAGGCTGTTAAAACTAGCCGTAAGAAATAGGAATGTAGTGTGCACATATCCTGACACCCACTTTTTATTGTTGCTGTGGGAGCAGCTAATGGTCACATAACAGATACTGAGTATTTCCCCAGTAGGATACAGATAGACAAGGAGAGGGTACCAAGCAGCTCACAGATCTTAAATTGTGCATGCCTGTTTGCTTCACTGCTTCCTCATCCCCCTTTTTTTCTTTGTCTACCTAACCAGACTATCCCACCTACGGTTTTCTCCCACCTATGGAGCTGGACCATTGCACCTATCATCTCCAAACAGCATGGCCAAAACATGGGGGGGGCAGTGAGTTGGGGAAGACTCAAGCCTGGATTAAATGGTTGACTTACAGAGAGTGTCTGTATTGTTTTTTAATCTTTGCAGAGCAGCTGCAAAAGTTTCGGCTCATTGTCATCATTGCCCTGCACACAGGGAGATCTTGCTCTCCATGTGACTTTTGGCTGGTTGCAGCTAAGCACGTATAGCAGATATGTACGCATCATAGGAAAGAAAAACCTTTCCACAAAAAGGAAAGAAAAAAGCCTATGAGAAAAGTAAATGCTTAGAGACACTAGATGTATTTATTTATTTGAAAGGAAGAGGAAGAAAATGTGCCATTAAAAATAAAAACCTGCAGAGTCATATTCTGCAACCAATAAGTGCTCAGGAAGAGACCTGAAGAGGGATGGGAGGAAAACTGGAAGAAAATAATCTATTTCCATACTCAACACAATAAAAATTAAGGAGTCTTATAATGTCACATGCGTGGGAAAGGTGGTGGCAAGAAGGCAGGCAGCTCAACATTTCAAAATTAGCTTCCCTTGTTCAGTTTTCCAGGCATGCCTGCACAGGAGTAAAGGGAGCTCTTTCCATTTCCATGTGGCTCTTCTGGTCATGTGAAAGGTCATCCTTGCAAGCCCATCTTTGATCTGGTGTCTGCTGAAGCACAGAGCAGAGATGGGATTCGTAGTTGCTATCTTGCAGGCTGATGCAGGTCCCCAGCAGTGCTGCATCGACCACTCCCTCAGAAGGGAGATGGGAAGCACCTGCCAGCACACAAAGGAGTGGGCCATCCCATTCCAAAATGGAGGAAGAACTCTTCTCTTCAGTACAGAGATGAGTCTGTGAGTTGGAAGGCAGAAGTAGACAAGAGCCAGGCCCTCGGTTCTGTGGCTCTGACAACACCGCTGGAGTTACCTCAGGCACGCGAAGTGAAGAACTATGGACTACAGAGCCCAGGAGCTTGGGAGCCATGCGCTTGTCCATCGGAAAGCCAGATGAGCTTCCCAATCCAACATGAGGCCTGGAAAAGTTGCAGTGTTGGCACATGTCCCATTCCTTATTTGGATGGAGAGCAGACACCTCCTCCTGGTCTAGCTGCTGCACTGGGCTTTTGAGATATTCAGTGTCTATAGCAACAGGCTTGCACAAGAGACTGGGAAGGCCTTCCTGAGATAATTGTGAGGGAACCGCAAAAAGGCTGGAGGTGTATGGCAGACCTGCAGACGGGTCGAGGTGTCTAGGAGCTGTCTGGCTTTGACTTGGCTCACCAAAAACATATTCTGTTGCATCAACCTGCTGTTCCTCGGGAAGCAAAACTGCACCTCTCTGCCTCTCATCGGACGCAGGTGCTTGCCTCTTTTTTGCCTGTCTGTACGGGCTGCAGGAGAGCCTGCGCTTGCGAGAGAGCACAGCTGGCTCTGTCTGGAGCCCTGTCTCCTGAGGGAGGGCATCGTGTTTGACCTCAGCTAGAGCTGTGGCCTCTGGGGCAGTTTCTGCAAACATTCGGTCCCTTTCATGGGCTTCACAAGCTAGCCCAGGAGGCAGTAAAACAGGAGACACAGGGATGCTGAGCATCTCTAACTGTTGCTCTGCTAGCTGGGCAATGCCTTGGTCCTCAAGCAAGTGAGGTGAACCCCCTCGGCTGTCATGATGTCCCACTGGGCCCTCAGCAGATCTACAACACTGCAGTCCTTCATTTAAAGTTGGAGGTCGGGCTGACATGCTCTCAACAGCCTCGGTTTGAAATCCAGAAGGGACACCATTAGAAATACCTGGAGACATCCTGACAGGAAGAGAAGGACATATTAAAATATGGCATTTTCAAAAGTCCCAAACATTATTTATTTCACAAACACTGTTTTCTTGTAGCATACCTTTGGAATCTGGGCCACTATTAACCCCATACTGCAGACAGCCATCTTCATGCCTTGTATGTGATTAGTTTATGCCAGTGGTGAATTTAATAACGTAGTCATTCAGCCAGCACACTATACCACACCAGCAAAGGTGCCTTCTCAGGATTTGGCCGTACGTTATTACTAGTAAAAGCTGGTAGTACTGTTTGCTACATATACAGCTCTTTGCTACAAATACAGCTCTTACTATATTACTCTATTTACAGCTCTAACTATATTACTCTATTTACAGCTCTTACTATACAGTGGTGCCTCGACTTATGAATGTCCCTACTTATAACCATTTTGAGTTGCAACCAGCTCTGGCAATAAAATTTTGCTTCTACAGTGGTGCCTCGCTTGACGATTAGCCTGTTTAATGACGAATCCGCTTTATGATGGTTTTTTTGGGACTGCGATTGCAAAACGATGTTTCAATGGGGTTTACTGGGATTGCAAAACGATGTTTCAATGGGGTTTTTCCATTTGATGATGATCGGTTCCCTGCTTTGGGAACCGATTTTTCGCTTTACGATGATCAAAAACAGCTGATCGGGTTTCAAAATGGCTGCCCGCTGTGCAAAATGGCTCCCCGCTGTGCTTTAGGACGGATTCCTCATATTACAGGCACCGGAAAATGGCTGCCCTATGGAGGATCTTACCTGGACGCTGAGGTATTTTGCCCATTGGAACGCATTGAACCGGTTTTCAATGCATTTCAATGGGCTTTTTCATTTCGCTTGACGAGGATTTTGCTTAACAGCGATTTGAACGGAACGAATGATCCTCGGCAAGCGAGGCACCACTGTACTTGCGAACAGAAAAAGGCAGGGGAAAAAGGTGGGAAATTCAAATTTCTAACTGTAGGTGGCAACAGGGCTGTTTCTTTGTAGCGCTTTCACCCCAGCAGTTAGAGAGTGTGCCTCAGAGGAGGCTTGGGACTGCCTCCTTCTGCTTCTGAGAATGTGTGTCTGTTTGCAGCGAGGCTTCAGGCTGCCTTGTAAGGTAAGGTGCTGCTTTCTGCTTTTTAAAAACTGTTCTGGGTGTTTTTGCAGCGTGGTTTTGAGCCGGGGGGTTATGTTTCTGCGCTGTGACGGGTCTTGGGGGGGTTGTTTGCTTGTTCCCCCCATTTCTGATGGGTCTTGGGGG